TTTTATAAAAAGATCAATTTTATAAATGGAAAAAAATTATACAATTAAAGTTGGAGTTAGGTACAACGAAAGAAATTAATACCTCACATCCCTACTGAGAGAGGTACTCATATTTAATGCTTGATAGTGCCTTACATATGATTACCTTCAATATAGAAAATACATATATACATATTTTTTTTTAAAAAAAAAAGAGGATTGCCTCCAAGGATAGGTGTACATGGAGGAAAAAATAAAGTCGGAATAATAAAGTTCAGGAAATGGAATTGATACGCCATCAGTTTTGGAAACAGTGTGACTAGGAAAAGATTGAAAAGAGTGATCGAATTGATTGAATGAAAAGTATTATATGTTTCTTTAATTGAAGGGGAAAAAACGTGAGGAGAAAACTACCCCTTCAGATCTAAAAAGGCTCTAATCAAATACAGTAGATTCTGAAAGAAGTAAAATGCCAAAAAAAAAAAAAATTGGGATTAAAACATAGAAACTCTTATTAAATTGGTTAAAAGAAGGTTGACTTCAATACTCTAATTTAAAGATGACGTCAAAAGAAAAGAGCTATGGCTTCGAAGATAAGAGGCATTAGCTCTCAGGAACGATCCTTCCCCGATTAGCAAATTGGGACAGCCTATATGTAAAAAAAGTTTCTCTTCTTTTCTTAAATTAATTAAAAAAGGACATATGGGACATGATCATCAACTGTTAGGGAGTTTGCCTTTCTCCGATTAGAAGAACGAAGTCATTAGAATCACTTTTCATTAAAAGAAAAAAAAAAATCAATCACATTATGTATGGACTACCAACACAAAGTATATGACGTTTTAATGTTTCAAAATGAACACAATGCCCCTTTCAACTCTATCCAGCGCTTCAAAAAAAAAAAACACTCAAGGCAATTATTCTTATATCCACAAGATTAGATTTATTTTTCCACCAGTTCTTTTACAAAGCAAATGCCAAAAAAAAAAAACCAGAAATGGGATCCCCAGATGATTAAATGCCGGTGCTTGCAGACAGTTTTTTCTCTTGGAGAGAGATGACAGTTTCAAAGGCACCAACCAAAGCTTTGACCTTGCTCTTCCTACTTTCAGCCAATTTAGTTGCTGTTTCTTCAATCACATTATTAAACAACCCTTGTTCATCTTTCTTTCCCTGCACATCTTGATGTCTCAAAACAACCTTCTCAGCACCAGTTTTAGCATCATGCTTTCATCAACATTTCCATCCCTTCTTTTATAACATCTTCTCAGAACTTCACCCTTCCAGTGTCAGTGTCCCCAGCATTCTTCCTCTCCTAAATTTAAGCCTCCTCGGACTTGATTTTCAGAGTTAACTTCAACCCATTTTCCTTTTTAAACTTTAATTTTGTCATTTGGGAGCGGTCCTTGTCTTGAGGATCTACAACCCCATCCTTTTTAGGATTGCCTTTCTGGTCCACCTCCAAATCATCTCCATTTTCTATGTGCTCGTCTTCAGCCTTTACTGAAATCCAATCCTCCTCAACTTCACTGGTCGTATATTCATATTCCTCTTGGTCATCTTGGGGTGAGGATTGAGAAGACGAAGAGCATGAAAACTTGGGCGACGCCAGCAACTGAGGGAGGGGCAATTCAGCATCATGACTTGCATTTTCATCGGATTGCAAAATTTTGTTTTCTCCGGCGATCTTGATGACATGCAAAGTCTTCTCCTCGACCTCAACATCACTATGTTGCTCACGTCTGTCTTTTATGGTCTTCTCCTCAACTTCAACATCATCATGTTGCACAGGTCTGTCTTTTCTGGTTTTCTCCTCAACCTTAACATCATTGTGTTGCACAGGTCTGTCTTTTTTGATCTTCTGCTCAACCTCAACATCACTGTGTTGCTTAGGTTTGTCTTTTCCGTTTTCAGAATGATCCTTAAGATGAGGCCCAATTTTCAGGCTCTTGTACTTTCTTGCATTAATACTTGCCACTCTATGAAAGGAAGGTTTGAGGGGCAAAGAAGCTCTTAAAGGTGTATTCAATTTTCTACCAGCTACTTTGGAGGTGGCGACTCTCTTCTCCACTCTGAGCTCGCTTTTCTTTGGCTACTGAAACTTCAGAGGGATTCTTCAAAAACAATGTCTTCTCTGTGACAGAGTTCGGTTTTGAAGATAACTTCATTTCTTTAGCTTTGAAGGCAGCACTTGATTTTGATGAAGCTTCCACTTTCTTTGATGCCGATGAAGTTTCTTGTCTCCCGGTCTTGGAAAGATCAGCCGTATGAGATTTCAGAGAGTTTGATGGTTTGACCTTGATCAATGCTGTCTTCTTGTTTCCTGAAAATTCATTCACTACTTGTTTTGAGTTTTCAATTGGTTTTGTTAGTATTTCCTGCTTATTCTCATGCTTCCAAGTGTCCCACGAATTTGCAGTGCAGAATCAACAGATGCTGTGAGCTTGACTGAAGATAACTTCCTTGTTGACTTGGAACCAGTTGATGCTCTGAGCTCATCCACTGATGTCATCGTCCCACCTACACCTACACTCCTTAGCGATTGCTGATGACCTGGTTTTCTTGCAACTCTCTTGAGTATGGATCGATTTTCATTAGCTTCAAATGCATGCTTCCTCCCATATTTACAAAAATCATGACAGGAACCAGTAGAAGCTCTGAGATAACGAGGAAGAACTTTTTCTTCACTATTTCCAGAACTTACTTTTCCAGTGGAGCGCCTTCTCAATTCAACCCACTTGACTTAGTTATTTCTGGGTCACTGGTGAATCAACACCGTTTTCAGCCATCAGACAAGAGATGAGATGTGAAGAACAGACCTCTGGACAAAGAGACAATCCTGAAATTAGAAAAGAACAATAACTTTAAATGAAGCAAAAATACAGAGCCTTAATAGAACTTACAGTAGTAGGAGACAAGTTAAAGCAAAACAATTAATCTTTTTTTTCCAGTGTTGGGATGGAAAGGAATGCAAATATGACACATTCAAACATACCCTTAGATTAGAAACCTTGGCCCTGGCAATAATAATAATAACAGTTCAGAATCTTAAAAGTACAACATGGAAGAAAAATATTTTATGGACTTCTCTTGAAATTCTTCCCCCTGAAAAAACATTAAAATTGTTTTCGTGCTCTCTTCTGATGTGAATCTCATAGTTAATGTCTCTAAGTGGAAAGTTTATAGGATCTTGACTGCAATGCCAAGGCAACAACTGTAAGAAAGGCCTAGGCCAGCAATTATTCAAAATAAAGACAGCATCAAATTGGCCTGCCTTTCATCTTGTTTTGCATATCATTCTTTTCCACTCAATCAAAATTAACAAAATCTCTTGGTTGTTACGATGAATAAGATACCTGACAGATCACTAAGTGACTTTTGTGAAGGAGGAGCCAGCAGTAAAGCCTTAACGAAGGAAAAAGTGAATCAAAGTATAGTGCAAGAACCGCGATTAAGCCAAACATCCAGTTTCCCGAACATTCCCGGTAAACAGCATTGTAATGTTTTGCGAACCTTGAATCGCCTACTACTATTATGGTCGCACCATATGTATCATAATCGTCCTCAGGCATTTCTAATATTTAAATGCCCCTAATATATAAAGGTATTTATCAAATACAACAATTGGGTAAACCATCAAAGGCGAAGAGAAGTGACAAAATCGATTAGGAATGCCGGAATAAAAAGCAGGACTCTTGGTTACTACTAAACTAAATTTACGGTTTTATCATGTAACTGATATGTGCAAAACCTTCATTATGGTAGAGCCACCAGGCAAAACTCATCATGCAAAAAGAAAATGCACTGAAAATTACCCGTTATTGATCATTCAGCAGAAACCCACATCAAAAACCCATCGCAAGCGTGACGGTTAAGCTACCTTCACGGACCGCCGTATACAACCATGTCGAAAGACATTTCAATCCATGAACCAAAAGGAAACAAAGCGAATCAAAACCAAACAAACACAAGAGAAATAGGACTCAGAGAGAGTTCAGAAGATCAATCCCAATCGCTAAAATCATAATTTTCCGCAAACCCGTTTGGGTAGATGAAAGAGAAATGGAACCCAGATAAAGATTTCAGCAAAAGGCAGGGTTTAAAAAAAAAAAAAAACAGCTTTTGGGCTTTCGCCTTGCTTAGCAACACGTACAAATAGCACACCTTTGCATATGATTCCGGGCTCTGGTAAAGGCTGCTCAGCCAGAAAGCGGAGAAAAAGCAACGGAATAACACGCCGGCTCGAGGAGACGAGTAGAGGGAACAGTCCTTTTACTGTTATATTTGTGTGAGAGATTTGGCTTCAGAGAACGTGCAGGCAATTTCAGTGGGCTTTGCTCTTCGCGTTGGTTTCAGAATCCAAAGAGAGAGATGATGAAGGGGGTGCAATGTGCAAAGCGTGAGCCTTGGGCATTGAGTTGTGGGTCGCACTCCCAAAACTGACCAAGGAATTTTGAATTTATATTTTGGGACAAAAATAAACAAGTAATGAGTAGTTATTATTGAAAATGATTATTAAGGTATTTGGTTTATTAGTTAGTCAAAAATATGAAATTAGTTTCCAATTTTTTCCCAGCAAGGGATTTCAGATTTGCATATGACTATGAATCTAGTTTTAATTTGAAAGATTATGTGATTACTTATAAATTATAGATTTTTGGTTGGCAAAAAAATTTAGATTTTTAAACTTTTCATTATTTTCATACCTAATGATATAATTTGGAATTTATAAAAAACAAAATCGAGTTGTTTATCTTGTTTTTTTTCCAACTGCATTATCCCTTATTTTGAATATAACAAAAAATTTCAAAAATAAAATAGGATGTCCATATGGTATTTTGCTATGGCAGAGATTAGAGGGTAAGTGTTGAAAATTCCAAAGAATGATAAGGTAATTGATTTCATTGGAAAGATTATTCATGGAATCATTATTTTGAGACAATTCAATTTGAGATCCTTTTTTCAAAAATGTTATTCACATTTTTGATAAAAGTATTCAGTATTTCCCAATCAATGTATTGAAAAAGTGCATCCTTTCTGGTTTGCACATTCAATCGAATCCTCACATCATACCAATCTTCAAAAGTACATCTCTTAACTCCACATAATAAATCATCAAAAACAAATAATTCTCTATTTTAAAAAACTATCACCTCATAATTGAATTTCTTTTCTTTTTTTTGGTTTACTTTGAGGCCATATGTAAAAGTTTGATCACTCTTGATAACTTTATTGAAAAAATATAGCAAAAAAGAAAAAAAATGCCACGAAATGCGTTGATTTATGTGGCTATTCAACCAAGTTTGTTTGGATTTGTCATAAAAAAAATTAATTTTGCATTGTATGTAAATATATGAGATGAGTTATACCTTTAAAAACATTTTTTTAAAAAAAATACTTTTTTAAGTTCTTCACAGATCATTTCAACATCTAAAATAATTAAAAATAAATGAGGGCATAAGTTTGGTTGAATAGTTTAATGAATGGTGCATATGTGATGATAGTTTAATTATAGCATTTAATGACATGTCACTTCGGTCATTATGTACCAGAAAATGAAGTGGTAAAATCTGCCTACCACCGTTGAAAAGGAAACGAGAAAGGAAGAAAAGTACACCAGCGTATATAATTATATGTGCATGCATGGTCACGTTAAGTTCGTATTAATTGTTTATTACCGACTTAATAAACAAAATAATTATTGGTAAATAATCACCGAATTGAGATATGTGGGTCACTAAAGTTTGCAATTTCTTAATTAATTATGAATGGATAATCTTTTGTCATTAATAACAATTGCCTTCAATATCTTCAAGACCAAGTTTGTTGCTTCTCCCGCCACAGATCTAACCTTATTAACACCTCAAGACAAAATTTAACAACATGCCATCCACATTTATTTTTTTGTAGGCAAAATATGAATCTAAGACTTATTTAAAGTGAATAAATATTTGTCAACAACAAATTGCTCCAATCATAGTGCCACCTGTCATATTTAAATCAGGTTCTAGGCTTGAGTAGCTTGTGTATTGTTTTTGGCCAAGGAAATCAAGAAAATCTTTATTTTATAAATTATGATTTTTATCTTTAAATCAAACAAGGCCAAGAGCTTGATAAAAATGAAGTTGGTCGGTATATTTTAGGAATATTATCAATGTGATATCGTACCATGAATTGTGACGATATATCTATGAAAAAAAAAAAGTTCTTAAAGATATATTTAATTAATACCCTCTTTAATGGCAGCAAAGCGTGCTCACCACTCAAAGTATGAGTAACATTGAAGAAATTAAGGGGGTTTTATTTTATACTGGTCAAAAGAAGGGGGGTTTTATTTTAGAAAAGTCAGCTCTTTATGCTTTTATTTTTACTTTAGAAATGGTGTGTGTACCTGTGTATTCTAAGAGTTACTTTAGAGGGTTTGTTCAGATAAAATAAAAATACTCTCTCCCATTCTTATTACAAGACATCTCTAACTAGCTCATCAAGAGTTAAAAAAAAAAAAGTGATTAAGCCATTAATTTTATCTAAAAGTGAAGAAAAATCAAGTTTGCCAAAGTGACAGGGGTTGCAATTAATGAGATTTTAAATGGGGATAATCTTAGGAAAATATAATTAATACCCCATTTAGTGGTTTATGATAAACACTGTCTACTTCTTGTAGAAGATACTGGAGGGAGTATATAGCAAAAGAGAAAGGGAAATGACATGGGTGTTAAAAGCTGGCTGTGGTAAGTGAAGAGGGAGGGGCCATTTGAATGGAAGCATTCAGTGTAAGAGGGAAAAGAGGGAGATGGTCCCATCTCAACCACTTTGTGAAGCTGAATTTGGCCTCCACCATTTACACCCCCCCCCCCCCAAAAAAAAAATGTCCCTTATTTTGTGTGTGTATGTGACAAATCAAACTTGGTTGATTAATTTGTGGCCACAGAAGAAAAGGGGGAAAAAGTTGGATGCATCAATGCAGGGAAGCATGAATGCACATCTTTAGGCACTAACAAAGCTGTGGTTCTCACAACAACCTCACACATAAGCAACTGAAGGACATCAATTCAAAAAGGAAAAAGCAAAAAATACACAATTTAATAATTCATCAAATCTCCTTGGATTTCTCGTCTCAATCTAGAACGATGAATGAGCTTTATGTATCCTGGCAAAAAAAAGAAAAAAAGGAATGAGCTTTATGTATATATAAGAGTGCAAGAATTGTCCCCCCCCCCCAAAAAAAATGTAGATTCTGTACTTGCTAGTTGAAAATTTAATTAGTGATAATTAAACATTATTGAACAAGCTATGTGAATATAAGAGATAGTGGTTTATTATTGGCATATGTGAATATTATAAGTAGGTAGCAGAACTTAATCAAGTAGGGTGACCCTTCAACTAGGAAGTTTCCAGTTTATCTCTTGAAGATCAACAAAATCAACACTCAATGTCCTTCTCTTCCCTTTTTGGTTTTGAAAAGGTCAAATTGGGTATGCAAAATATGCTGAATCTTTGTTAGGTTGAGCATATCCAATAACAGTAACTTTAACCAAATAAAATTGACCAAAATCAATTAGTTCGTGATGGATTGATGCGGAATTTGACTGAATGAATCTGCTGGTTAGAACAGTTAGTGATAATTAAACATTGTTGACACAAGCTAAGGCTAAACAAGATAGGCCCTTAATTTAATTAGAATTTTTAGCCACACATTAGATGAATTCAGTGATTCCAGATAACCAAACCAAATTCATTGTTATACAATACAAAACAATCACTGCTGCGAAGCAGAACAAATAAATAATAGTAAAAGACAACCTGTCTACGCCAACCATCTTATCCATATTCTATAGCTGGGGGGTCAGTTAGTTGAGAATTAAATTGAACATAATTCTGCTAGCGATTTTTGCTTTGGAAAAACATTGAAGAAACTTCAAGCTTAAGTTTTGTCCTATATGAAGTTCAGATATCATGCAGATATTGGAACCATTCGTTCCTGGATTTTACAACATTTTTCCTATTCAAATGTAAGACATCAAAATCTTCCTGAGAAGGTTCCTACTTTAACAAATATGTACATATTTTAAAGTGTGACCAGGACAAGTTGTTCTATTCTGTCTCACTGCTTCCTGCCCGAGACAGTTTTCTTTACAGCTCCGACTGAAACTAAGAACTGGTCTAAAGATGATAAGGTCCTCATGTCATCTGGAGGAAAATAGCTAGCAGCTTTTCCCATGATCGATGAGAATATGAAAGAGAGCGAAAGCTCACTAACAAATCGCTCGCCCAGAAGCTCATCCAGAAATGCGAATGCTGCCCGGAAATCAGAGCTACTCGCATTTATTGGAGCAGCAAAATGGGCAGGGATTATTCTCTTGAACCTCCAATCCCGAGAAATGCTATAAACCCAGTCACTTACCTACATGGAAAATTCATATTTCATAATCAGATCACCAAACTGAGACTCAAGAAAGTAACTACTATTGATCCAGTTTCACAAACAAATGCAACCTTCCAATTATTTGGTGTCAGGATTTTTACTGTCAAAACAGGCCACAGGCCTGTAAGCCAGCTTGTGTAATCTGTCCCTTGGATGGGTTTGGGCAACTTTCAGGCCCGATTTAATGGATGAAGCATAAATTTTTGGATATAAGTAACCACGACCAATGTAAATGTAGAGTAAAGCAATGCAGATAAGAATAGTTGCTTGGTGATAAATTAACAATCAACATCTGCTTGGTCAAAATCTCAGAACATAAAAGAAATGAGGGGAAATTATACATAGTTCCGGCTAAAAAAATTAAATACAAACAGTTTCCTAAAATTTCATTGAATACTAATAGGTCCTAAGTTAAACTTTCGTATTTTTAAGTCTTCATTTACTAGTCAAATTTACAAATTAATGGTTACAATTCAAACTCTCATATTTACAAGTCAAGTTGTGTCATTTACAAGCCAAACTTATAAATATTCAGTTCCTTGTGACCTATCACAATTAAATGAAATCCGGGAGACCTATCTGTATTTAATTTCTTTAACTGGGTCTTATGGGTAATTTTCCCAAGAAATTATGCAACATAAACAGGATTACCTTTTCCGGAACTTTGCTGAATACCAGTGTCTTCACAATAGGCGAAACAATCAACTTCTGTGACATCTGTTCAAAGCTAGCATTTGGCTCTAAGAGATTCGATGGACCAAGAAACAAGATTTGTAGAACCATTCTTTCCCATCCTACATAACATTGTATAGAACAATGAAGCTAAATTTGACCACAAATGATTTGTGACTGAACTTCAGAAATAAAAAAATAAACCTTTTTGACGGTTCCTTTTGTTGTCAATAACTGGTTCGTCAGGAACTTCCTTTCCTTTACTAAGAATTTTTACTGCCAAACCATTTTTTGCGGATGCCAACAGCGATTCTTTGCTTATACACTCTGGTGGCTGTCTGGGGACAAAAATAACAGCATCCGTCACCAATAGCGTTCTTGAACGCTTATGGTAGAAAGCTACCTCCACATACGGACCAATTCCTGATATAATTTACAAGCAAATGAGATCTTTCTATGTGGAATCCTGGAGATGAAGTATAATGATATACTGTATTTTTTTTTCTTTTTCTCGTAACAGGATATGCTGCGATTATTACCAACTTCTGGGGAGCTTAGAATTTTGTGCTCTATTTCATCAGCCCAGGGGGTAGATGAATCGTCATCTTTCAATGTCTTAGAACGAAAAATCCCAAAAAATTCAAGTGGCAAGTTCAATGGCCAACTCCATTGCCTTGGTGCCACCCACACTTGAGCACGTGGAAACTTTCTAGAAAATGGACCAACAAATATTTTATGCTCATAAGCAAAAGTAGGGAGAACAATATATTCCACGGGAGCCCCCAACTCTTTAGAAGCTGCCAGAAATAAAACATTCAAGTGTTATTAATCATTTTATTAATTATTCATTTTTAGTCAATAAGAACACTCAGATTACAGATCTCTCCCTGCAGTAAAAGTTATTAATCATTTCATTAAAGGTCAGTCAGATTACACTTATTCCACTATGTGTTTTGGGCTGTAAAAAAGATCAGCACTAAATATATGAGAAAATATGGAATCAGCCCCTGAAGCCCATCGTACCAAGTTAGTTCCAGTTCCAAATTAAACGATACTCCAAGGTCCACACAAAAGTGAACTTCAATATATAGGGGGACATCTTCCGCTTTACAGAAAAATGAAGAGCAGAATTGGCATGTACATGCATTTGCAGTCGCAAAAGCTATTATACGTTTTCATATCCAAAGTAAGGAGAGCTGGTGAAGAAAATGAAACCTTAATACATTCATCAGTTGGAGCAATCGGTGCATGCACCCATAAGCCTCCAGATTTGAGTTTGATAACAGTCATCCTAATGTTTGTTGAAACACTGCTGAAGCCCAAGGCTTGCTCTTGTTCAAACAGCCATATGCATCCCTTCACGGCCTAAAACAAGATAGCAATAAAAGGAAGCATAAGTAGTTTTAAAACAGAATTTCTAGCTAACATATAGTACGTGTGGTATGAATGAACTACTACTTCTGGTCTTTAATATAAGAGCTGGTTGACTAATTTAACTAAATTAAGAAAATTAGTTGAGTTAGCTATTTGTAATGAATAAGTGTTGTATTTCTTAAAATATCCTTACTAATTAAATACATTAGCTAGAACTACTATTGTTATAAGGACTATCTTGAAGAAAAAATAGATAAATATGAAAGACAAAATAGATTTTGGTTTTATATTCAGGATCAAAATAAAAATCAAACGAGTTATTATATTAAGCATTGGAGGTAGTATATTATTATTGGCTTTACAATACACATGCCATGCAAAAACACAACAGGTTCGCAACATTTAAAATGTATTTCTAGTTGAATATTCAGAACCAAACAATTTCTTTTTTTTTGGGGGGGGGGGGGGGAGGGGGAGGGGAGGAGTTGCCGTTCATTACAGTCAAGAAAACATAAGATTCAAGAGTGAGCTTCAGTACACTATAAAATGTTAGCTGTTACGAATAAAACTAGTGTCACCCCCATGCGATTGAATAAGAATAATCATAGATACACATAAGTAATCCAATTCAACATACAGATGCCCAGAGAATATGAAATGAAAGAGATCACAAATTCACCAGTACAATGAAGATTAGCTTACCTCCGTCCTTATAGTGCGCCTATTGAGGAAAGGACCCAAAGGGAAAGGAAACCCAGTGAAATTGAAGTAAAATCTGCCACTTGGGTTTCCGCTATTTTGTGTTGTGACGGCGGTGCTGGTGCCAGCTGAAGCCACAATCAAATTTGTGAAATTCCTTCGGTGTTGTGTTGGTTTTAGATGTAAACAAAGACCCTTCGAAGAACCACCAAGGAAATTCGAACTTGATTCATTGAAATAAATGGGATTCTGCAAAACTGAAGATTTAGGAGAAGCAATGGCAATGGCTACCATCTTCCCGAGGCCAGCAATTTCGTCGCCAGAAAGTATGGTTCAGGGTGCATGGACGAAGGATCCAAATGGGAGACATTGCCGGTTATACTTGTGACACGTGGACCTCGTTTTGGACTTGGATTGTCCTACATGGATCTTGCGGGAGCCTTAGATTAATTGCGGAGGCGAAGAGAACGAACAGAGAAGGAGAGAAATTTCTAGAACAACACCCCCTTTGTCATTATTTTTAATTTTTAGTCTTAGAAGGTATTTAGATAAAAATTAATAATTTTAAAAATATTTTTACATCATACAAAATAAAAATATAGAGGAATCTGTTTCGTTTTCCAATTAATATCTTTGGATTGACTTTCATTTGAAAAAGATGTGGATTACACGAGACTAGGCCTCAAGCTCACTTGCTATCATCATATCCAAGTTACTCGAATTTAACGGCTAAGGAAAATAATACCAGTTACCGAATTTCATTTACAATAAAAATAAAATTAAGGTCAGATTACTTAAGTTGATAAAATTTAGTCCTGATTAGCATAAATTCGGTATAGGATTGTATGTACAAATAAATTTTATAAACTCAAGTAATCTAATGATCTTCATGATATTTTTTTTTAAAGTAATAGAAACATGAAGGAAAGATAATTAAAAAAAATCACTTATTCAGTAAATAATTTAAAATAGAATGAGCTTCATCTAGTCAAATATAAATTGATGAAATAAAAAAAAACTTATTGGTGTAAAATAAAATAACCTTAAAACTAATAGAAATATGAAGGAAGGGAATAAAAACGAGAGAAATAACTACACCATATTCTTCAACACCCCAACATAAATAAGATATCTTAGTCATAGACACAGCCATCCATGTCAAATGCCTCGTCCGTATTAAATAATAAAATAGTAAATAATAAAGTAGGGTCACCTCCGATCTTAATTATAAGAACTAGTTGACTAATTTGAGGGGATTAAAAAAACAAGTTAAGTTAGTTATTTGTAATAAATAGGTGTTATCTTTCCTAAAATATCCTTACTAATCAAGTGTGTTGGCTAGAACTATCATTATTAGAAGAGCTGTCTTAGGGTGTGTTTGGTATGAGGGATTTGGGAGGGAGGGAGGGAGGGGAGGGAAGGGGAGGGATTTTAATCATTTTCCCTTATTTGGCAACACACAAATTTTAGGAGGGGATGGAAAATTTTTTAAAATTTCCCCTCCCCTCCCCTCCTCAACCTCCCCTCCAAAATTGAGAGGATTTGGAGGGAAAGGGCAATATTTTGTCATATTATGATTATTATGCCTATATTTTGTCATATTATGACCATTATGTCTATATTTTGTCATATTGTAACCATTATGCCCACGCCTTAAATAAAATAAGAGCAAAATTGTCCATATTAAAATATTTTTCCCTCCCCTCCCCTCTTTTTTTATAAATCCAAACAAGATAATATTAAAATCCTTCCACTTCCCTTCCCTCCCCTTCCCTCCATTAAAATCCCTCCCCTCCCATTCCTCTCATTGAGCCAAACATACCCTTAGAAAAAATGCATAAATATTAGAGAAAAAGTATATTGAGATCTTATATTTAGAATCAAAATAAAAGTTAAACGGTGTCTTATATTAAAGACCGGAGGTAGTAATAATTTATGAATGCTTATATCAAATGAAAAATAAAGCACATGAGTAGTAAAATAATGAAAATTACTTGAGAAACTTACATGATAAATTGGGGCTACTCTCGAACAAAACGGTTGAAAGAAGCTTATCGGGAAAAATATTAAACTTCTTGCTCCATTTCCCTCCAAAAAGATAATTATTATTTCATCCTCAATATAAAAGCTAATTAGACATTTAATATAATTCTAAATATAATCGTTTTAATACACTGTCTATTATATTTGTTCATTCCCTAAAATAGGCTCATAGTGATTACACATGTTAAATGATTTTCATTTTTCTATTAAAAAACAATTTTCATTCTAATGCACATGATTAATATAAAGATATTTTAGAAAAAATAAACTCATGTATTATAAATAATAAACTTAACTAATTTTAACCCTTGTATTAAGAATAGAAGATACTAGTAAGTTGCGTTGAGGATGGAAGATCTGTGTGTATTGCGGATTTTACTATTCCATTTACACCTGATGAAGTTACAGTTCAAATGTATCCCAAAAGATAACACAATCAATTGTTTGCAATGCAGTCTACAAAATTACTACACCTACGGCTGTAAGATATGCTCATTCGTGTCCACATAGAATAGCACGTGAGCATTTTAAATTCGGTAGAATGCAACAACCATAAACTTTATTCTACTAGATGGAGTCAGCTATTAAATTGCACGATATTATTGTACTTTATCAACAACTAAATCCTTAGACAGGTTGAATAATTATATCAAAGATTTGCACTTCAGCAGGGAAACCTTGTACATCCTCTGGTAAAAAAAAAAAAAACCTCGTACATCCTTGAAGAAGGTCAGTACAATCATTTGCAAACAACATCATCACCACCAGACAACTGACGTTACAATCTTCATCCACCATCCAAGCAAAGCAAAAGCTATAAATTAAGACTCAAAAAACTGAGATTGAGCAGGAACTATACATGGCAATAGAAAATGATGAAGCTGTAATTTACAATGCCGAAATTGTTGGATAGAGCCACTAAGTGAAGCATATATACTGCCTCGTGATCTCAAGTGGTAATTTCCCTGACAAGCCAATCTAAGCTAGGATATGCAAAGTACAGGATGAGAAGTGATGGGAAAGCAAACAGAATGGTGACAAGTGTGTACAAAGCCAAAACGGCTGCACTTGCTGGGATTGCATACAAAGTAATGAGAAGAAGTATGAGCACAAATGGGAACTTAGCTGTCAAGTGGACAAAAAAAACCAGCGACTTCAGAACAGAACTATGCAGTCTTTCCATAGTGAAGTGATTATCAGCATAATCATTATATTGATTGGAAACTGATGGCCCTGTATGGGACTGAGGAACATGCCGTCCCCTCCTCAGGTTGTCATGGCGTACTTGGCTTCCCATTGTTCGATTGTCTTTGATTGGCCATAGAGGTTGCTGATGAAGATGATGATCCCCACAGAAAGCTGATTGTGTCTTCACTCTATCACCATTTATGCTCTCAACCATCCAAAGAAGGAAGTAGTTCTTGCGAGGGAATTTGACATTTCCATTATAAACCAAACGGAAAGATAGAAGATTGCACCAGGGACAGGAGATAAAAAGTGGAAGCTGAATTGGCAGCGTCGGAACTTTGACAACAGCCCATTGCAGCCCCAGGATGCAATTTTTACAAAGGGTATGGCCACACCATAAGACATAGGGCACATTTTCAACAATGTTGAAAGATTCCCAACATATTGGGCATTCAAGCCCTTCCCCTCTGCCCACAACAGAAGATGTCTCATCATCGGAGCATTCTGAAGCTGTGTGAGGTTGCTTTACACTTGCAGAATCATTCTTCAGCCTCGCACATCCAGCAAAGCAGCTTGATGCAAAATTCCACATTCTGCATCACATCAACATAACCAGGCAAAAGAGCATCATCTGGACCTGAATGTGATTTTCACATGACCCAAAACTCCAAGTTTGCAACATTTTCATTAGGGGCAGAGCCATGGTAAGTTCAAATCACAACCCAAAAAGGGTCAGTATCTTCAGATGGTAACATAACGAGTAAAATTGCTATAAGCATCCATGCCATGAGCTCATCATCATAAGCAATCATGTTAATCGTATACATGCATTTGACACCGTTTCGTTAAGAAAATACTTGTTATCCTCAGATGAAGGGGGCAAGGCGTATTGTCAAACTTCTAATACATTCACTTAATAAAATAAACCAAACAAACTACCAAGAAGCGAAAACTCAGCCCAGTGAACAAAGAAATCAAAATCAAGAAATATGTATTTATTTGAGGTTGGCATAGAACTGTAGAAAACTTGCAGTATTTTATCAAATACCAATGAATTTGGATTTGATGCACTTCTTTCGAAAAGTGCACAATGCCCATAACTTATTTCATTATTAATTGACACGCCATTATATATCTTTTCAGGTTTTCTACATCCCTTTATAAATAAAAAAAATACACACGGTACCCTCCTCGAAAGATGTGCACCAGATCCATTTCCCTAAACCTACCTTACATAAAACATATTACTGTCAGAATACCTATATTGGGTTCTCAGATTCTGCTCTTATTATATCAGGCAATCATTCAGGGGTCAGAGAGTAATACAAATTTAACTAACTTTACATCATAATGTGCTTCATCAGTAGCCACTAGCATATAAACCGACTGAACTGTCGGAACTGGAGAGATACAGTAGCCCAACTCAGTAAACCCACAGCATCGTAAAGGTAGAAGCTGGATTATAGTTATACACATTAACATGGTATCTGATAAAGAATTTGACTAAGGAAGTACAGAATTATCAAATGACCTGGGGCAAGACGAATTTTTCCTAGTATAAGTTCCAGTTATTTGCCAGATTTTGTCAAACTTATCTTTTTCAACAAGCCAAACGTCTAAGAATCACACCATCAAATACGATCCAAAATGGAATGTGCATATATATGGCTTCTAAGAGTAAAAAAGATACAAAATCAATGGAAATCCCTGTGGGGGATTTTCAGTCTGTTTGTCAGCTGAATCAAAACTCGATCCTCAGGATTAAATAATGAAAGTAAGGAAAAGTAAGGATGAATTATAGAAGATGAAGTCTGAGAAGAAGATCATTCAAACCGATTGCTCATGCTGAAGGTTTAACTTTGACAGAGTCCAATAGAGGGCTGATCGAACCTCTCTAGACCACTCCCAGAGACTCAGACACAGTATCTGTTCAAAACGGAAAACCTGCAAGCACCCTTATGCGCGTCAACCCCCGATTCTTGCGTCACCTGTTTCTTGTCCAAACGAAGATTGGTGGCCTACTATTAATATTACTAGTATTATCTTTTTTCCGGCTAAAAGAATAATACTATTATTACTACTATTTGGTTTTTCGGCCGAATTTTGTTCGGGCTTCGTGTTTACGTTTTGCCCCCCTTTTTATATAATTAATTACGAGATGTTTAAAAAAATTAATTAAATTAGCTATTTACAATAAATATATGTTGATTTCCTTAAACTATCCTATTTAATTATATGTACGAGAAGTATCATTTGGTAAGAGCTCCTTATAATCAATAAGAATTATTTGAAAAAAATTATAAAATTAAAAAATAAAATAAATTATTTAGTATTAAATCTAATCTTAACAAAAAAAACAGAGATAATTACAATCAAATCCCACAAAAAAAATAATTACCCAAAAATCCTAATAACAACCTCAATAGTCTATAATAACAAGTCTTATAGTGAGAATGATAACCTCTGAAACTTATTTTTTAATTATTTTCCTTGCTTGCAACCTTATTGTAATTTTCAAAAAAAAAAAAGTACTTCGAACATTGTACGGAGACATTAATTCAGTTACAAAGGAAAAATTTCAGCAAAGGCCCACAATATGGACTTGATAAATTTTCAGTCCCAAAAGATTTTGAAAATTCAATTTAAGGTACTTTGAATATCGTATGAAGACGCGTATTAAGTTATAAAGGGAAAATTTCAGCAAAGGCCCACAATATGGACTTAATAGATTTTCAGCCCCAAAAGATTTTGAAAATTCAATTCAGGTTACAATGTGGTTTTTTTTACTTATTCATTTAATTTCATTTTGTGTCAGAGAGATTGAATTAACTGAAAATTATTAAGTCCACATTGTGGGACTCAACTGAAATTTTCTTAATAATAAATGTGTGAGGTCTGGATGTAACGCCCTTGATAACGGAACCAGTTCCCTCCTAAGAAGTTGATAAGCACCAAAGCGCTCCATTTTTATAATTAAGAGAGAAATCTTGGCTACTAATTGCATAATAATCCTAACCATTCAATTCTGAAATTTGAAATTTGAAATTTCTTTTTCATAGCGAAAAGGCTGCATGCGACTCGATTTCTCTTCTTGGTTGAGCGGATTTTCCGTGAGCTTCATCACCTGCGAGCCTTGTCGGTGGTGGCTGTCATTAGACAGCGCATTGACTCTCCAATTTTATGGCAAGTCTGAAACTTGGAACTCTATGATGCAGGATTTGGGATTATAGGGGTTTTAGAGTTCAATTTTTGACGACGTCATCTAACTTTTGTCGGAAAACTTGCAGTACCTTGATGATGATGTTGGCCTCTCGAAGAATAATGAATGAAGTAGCATTTTCTCGAGAAGAAAAAGTTTTCCCTTAGTTATAAATTATACTTAGATTTATTGGATGTTTCTTTTTGGGACTTCATATAACGATTTCGAGCTTTGCTTTGAGACTTGTAGGTGCAAAGAGGGAAGCTATACGTTAGCTATTTACCGACAGTGAAATTGTTTTTTGCCTTGCTCATTGGCATTGGTACATTGCTGATTTTCATCTGACTTAGGGCTCATTTGGAACATCTTATAAGTAGTTTTTTAATAATGATTTACAGAATATGAGTCAAGCATGTGAGAAGAGTTTTGCCTCGGCTTACATGAAACGTGTTTATAAGGGATTTCACCACTATCCCAAACACGCAATTACATGCGGACACCGGTTGAATTTCAACGCGCATTGTGTTTTACTTTTATATCCATTAATTCTGATTAAAGATATCAGGGAAAAAAATCTGATTAAGGATAGCCATTTGTGGCTGAAAGTTTTCCCCTCAAAAACCTGTGCCTTTGCTAATAATCGTGATGCATATAAAGTGTAATAATTTATTTCTCAGTGAAACGACTTCGTTTGAGTTATTAGCAGCACTGTAGCAATTGAATGAAAGGAACCCCTGCCTGATGCTATTAATTGAAACGATGCGTGTTGATTGATGAGCACCTGGTGCTTATTATTGTGCTTAGCAGTGAAACTGGTTCCCTTGATAACGCCCTCGTGTCGGTAACACCTTTTTCCATCTTAAGTTTTTGACACATTCCTCCGAATGATATATGAAGAAGAAAGAAAGAAAAAAATAGAGTTCGCATTGTTGGGGAAAAAAAGATAGATTCACCCCATTTGTATATTGTATCATGAGTCCTGTACAAATGGACCTTCCTTCTGTTTATTCCTCCTTTTTTCCCTTCTGATTTTCTCCAAAATTTTACACACGCGCACATCATGAACGCGTGTGTAAGGGAAGCAAAGGGATATCATCATCATGAGCGCTCTCACTCTCTCTCTCTGTGTGCGCCTGCGTGACTGTGTTCAATGAGCAAAATTATATATGTAGGCCAAAAGGGGGAAAAAAAAAACAATTATATTTGACGGCACAATGCAGTAAATCATTCGCCCCAGATTTAAAATCTTGGGTTATTAAAAGCTTTAACATATCGATCATATGAAATCATAAGAAAAGAGATCAACCATAGATGATGTTAGGTTATACTTGAGATATTTGAAGCTAGCTAATGTAATAATAATAATAAATAAATAAATAAAATAGAATTTTAATTATTTCAATTCAATTTTTTTAATGAAATATTCTTTTAATTCTCTAATACTAATATCATTAGTTTTTATTAAAGAAAATACTGACACTATTGACAACGAGCTTATACAAATGATAATCTCTGAATCTAATCATTTTTATTTTTTTAAAGTTAAATTTAATATGCCAACATTTAATAATATACCTTATAAGGATGTTAAGATTTTAAAAGTAAAAATATACTCTATAAAATTAAGATATCAAACTAAAATCTTGTCTAAATTAGGACAATAAAAGTGTGCTTACCACCCCCCAAAAAAAAAAAAGTAATATTCGAATAATGAAAAATAAGAATAGCTCTGCTAACAACTGGCCTCATCATTTTCTTGATAGTTATTTTTTCCCCTAAATATATTATTTTCAACGATAAAATTAACAATAATAATATCAATAATCAAATCGCATTCATCAACGGAATAAGATAAAATTAAAGACTATATATCGATATAGTAGTATTAACAAAACGAGAGATAATTTTGTGAGAAGTTAGAGTAGCAGCAGAACATCTAAATAAGTAATACTTATACTTGTGCTCCATATGATCATTGATATAAGAGTTATTTAAGTAATTGGAAAATATTAAAAAAAATTAATTAAATTAGTTATTTGTCACAGATATGAGTTGATTTTCCTAAACTAATTTGTTTTATTCATGATTATTCTTGAATGGAAACGCATGTGTAATCAATCAATAGAAATACTTTGTAGAGTAAGTTATATATTTGGAAGGACAAAATAGATTGAGGTCTTATATTTAAGATTAAATCAGCCCGGCAGCTAACTCTTATATTGAGAGAAACCACCTTGGATTAGTAATTCAACATTCCAACAATAATACTCTTGAGTGGACAATGATAAGAACGTAATTCCATCAACGAATCACCTTCCAATCAATGATGTGTCAAGTTTTTGGAGATGAATAAAGAACAAAGTGGCACAAAGAATAAATATGAAAGGTTAAAAAGAGAAAAGGTTGCAATCATGGTCATGGTCATCATTACTACGAGCGCTGCCAAAAAAATTCCAATTCATATTTGAAGACGCAGAGGGCCAACGTGAATATGAATGAATGAATGAAAAAGAGAGAAGCTATGATAATGGAGTGAGTGATCAATCAGACATGATGGGGATATGCACGGAATAATAATAATGATATACTACCTCCGGTCTTTAATATAAAGACCCTATTTGACTTTTATTTTCGTCCTAAATATAAAACTTCAATTCACTTTGTCTCTCATATTTATATATATTTTTTCAAAGTAGCCCTTCTAACAATAATAATTCTAGTCAATACAGTTAATTAACAAGGATATTTTAGGAAAGACAACACCTATTTAGGACAAATAACTAACTCAATTTACTTCCTTAATCTCCTCAAATTAGTCAACTGGCTCTTATAATTAGGACCGGATGTAGTATAAATTTGTGTAACTAGGAAGGAAACTCCAATGTTTGGGAGAGGGCCCTCTCCGATTTCCTTTCCCTCCATTTTCATCCACTTCTCATTTTAATGATAAGATTGAAATTTTAACATTTCATATTTTATAAAATTATGAATAAAATATTAAACTTTTTTCAAAATAAAGAAATAAATTAGACTACTAAATTTTAGTCAAAATAATTATAAGATCTTGTTTGTAGTTTACAAACTAGGTTATATAATTAGAACCGAATGTAGTATAATTTTGTGTAACTAAGAAGGAAACTCCAAAATATTTTGAGTTCCAACGCTGTTTCGCTGTTTTTCAATCAATTTAAAAGGCAACGCACGTAGGTCTCCCTTCTCCTTTCTCTATCTCCTCCCAACTTTTGACTCTAACACTAACTTCCAAATTGTAACGGGTACCCACCCTAAGGATTAATCACATCCTGCCCCAAAAGCGCATAAACGTTAATCACGTCTTAATATCTTCTTTTTTAACTAACGGAGTAGTCACTAACAATGTAAGGTTATTCTCCTCCACTTATAAGACAGCTTCCATGTCATTAGGCCATAAGGTCAGCAATCATTTTAATTGTATCAACCATGTTTTATTATTTTAATTAATGAATTGGAATTCAATGCAGTTACAATAAGAACCCATTAGATTTTTACCTCTCTTTTGGCTATCCTATCAAGTTTAACTTGAATGGTTTCAGTTCATTATGGCTCTAATTTCTGGATGGGGAATAATTTGGTATAATTAATAAAGACTATTGCAAACTGGAATTTCTACGTCTATACAAAAAATACCTGCCATTATTGATTTAATTCCTTGCTTCCTTAATTGCTAGCAAAAAAAATAAAAGAAAGAAGAGAATTACAACAAGAACCATTTATTTGCATGTGATCACGAAGAAAAGGAAAGGAGAATAATAATGAAGCAA